GGCTTTGCAAGCCACATATAGTCTGTTGCATATGCTTCTTTGTGCTCATGCGTGTGTTTTTTAAAAATGCTTTAAAATTATAAAATCCATTATTAGCTTGAGAGCTGCACAAAAGGAGGTCAGGAGGCTGCATTTAGCCCATGGGCCACAGTTTGCTAATTCCTGATATCAAGGCACAATTTTGAGGCAACAAAGAGACTGCGATTGTGTTATATAGCATGCCATTACCTGTGCACTGATCTGACAGGTATGATGCCATTTAGCAAAGGGACATTACTTCACATGCCAGGGAAAGGCAGCCCAGCCGGTTCCTGTAAGGAATGTCACAGTCTTCCCTTGCCAATGCAGCTTTAATGGGAACAAGTAAAGAAACAGAACCATATAAACTATATTGGAATTTGGGAAGTTGAATATAATTACCTAAGTTGAAATCTAGCCAGCACAGGGGTGGGGGTGGGGGGAATGTCAGGCAACCTATTAGACTCAAGACAAAATTTGATGATTTCATGTTCAGTTATAAAAACACGAGTTCCAACAAAATGCTTGCAGCCCACATCATTAGACCTGTATGTGACTTTGGTGCCAAACCCACGGGAAGAGTGAGAGGTGTCGCAGGTAGGACTGCGTGAGTTGTGGGGGATTGAGCTCCACTTTCCTTGATGGTCTATCCTGTAAGGCCTAAATGTGATTTTTCCCAACTGGCTCTTCCAATTTTAGGGGATTATAAAATAAACTGTCAGCACTGAAACTAAGCAGGTGTTAAAAGCAGGGCCTAGAAGAGCAGGATACTCCCCCTGCTGGATTTAGGAACATGTTCCAAAGCAAGAAAACCTGCAGTTTCTACCTATCATTCAAAACCACTATGAGGACCTCTGTGTCTTTTAAACGATCATCACCCCCCTAATATCTGACAGGGCTTTTAACTTTGCAAAGAACAACATTAACAAGGTATTGGGCGAGAATATCGTTTGTAAATTGTAACTTGCTCTAACAGAGATGAAAAATAGGTTTTATTTTTTGTACCAAGTCTGATGGATGGCAGTCACTGTGTTATCAAAATTTCTGAGCCCATACTCATACTTAACCAAAAGAAAAAGATATAAAGTACCATGATCAATTAGTAACATCTTCCAGGGGCAGGGGAGGATGGAATAGTGTACACATGCCAGGTGTCTGCTATTCAACTAGTATACAAAACGCAAAAGTGCACTGTTCTTATTTCCTCCAGCATATTCATAGTTAAATTCATGAAAAAATATTGTTTCAATCATGAATTCTACTAAAAAGCCAGCTTTCACAGTTTGAGTATATTGATTTAAATTTGACACACAATACCGATCATTTAAACTCAGAGACCACATCCTGGTGGTTATCAAGCAATCTGAAATTAATTTTAACATCATAATTAACAACACAAATCATGAGGTACTTTTCGTATATGGCACCTTTATTGGACATGGGATAATCATCTCGTGAAACCTTTAAAAGTACAACTGGGGCCCAGCCAGTGTTGCTCAGTGGTTGACCTATGAACCAGGAAGTCAAGGTTCAATTCCAAGTCAGGGCACATATGCCTGGGTTGCAGGCTCAGTCCCCAATGTGAAGCATGCAGAAGGCAGTCAATCAATGATTCTCTCTCATCATTTCTATCTCTCTCCCTCTCTCCCTTCCTCTCTGAAATCAATAAAAACATGCATTTAACACACACACACACACACACACACACACACACACACACATGCACAACACTAGGTCTCTTCTAGAGTAGTTTTATCCCAGAATTTTTATTCCAGTTTATAATTACTCACTATGTGTTAAGAGTTGTAAAGGGAGTCAGGGGTGGGGAGGAAGATATAATACTGTGCACATCAGGTTCTCTGAGTCGCATATCTTACAAGTGTTGTTTGGGGACATTATTTACCCAAAGGCCTCTTTGTTCCATGATGCTAAAAATCTTATGAGTATAAGAGAGCTTAAGCTATGCCATGCCATACCATGTAGCCCGTCTTGCAGAAGGAAGACTGATACTAAAACTATGACAAGAGTTACCTGTGTCTGCTGACATCAAGAATATTCGCAGGGATATGAGTCCTAGACTCAATGGTGAATAATTGCCTTTTTACTTCCACTAGACAGATGAAACAGCCATCAGCATGGATGCACATCCACTTTGCCTCTTCTGACTCCTCTCTATGTTTACCCCACACCAGGAAAATGCCTGCCTATTCAAATAGTTGCAGAATTTACTAGATTATATAATTACCAGGCACTGTTTACCTGGCATACAAAGCAATGCAGAAGGGATTAGATCTGTCATAGTAGCTAAAAAAATAAAAAAGCTAACTATTCATCCACTGTACTTTTTGAAGAGATATGAGAATATTCTACAAGATAACTTCATTGGTGGCTGCAAAGGACAATAGTTCTCAAGTTCAAACTCTCATTAGGATCTCTTTTGGGAAATACTGAGGAACAGGTCCTCCCTCATCTGATCTTCTGATTGAAATCCTAGGTGTTTCTAATGTGTAGCTGGGTCGAGAAGACCAGTCCGGTCCTATGGGAAAATTCTCCTTCAGGCAGCCCTCAGTTCTTACCCTGCATGGCTACTTTAAACAGCAGGATGTTAGAAATATTAAACTACCTGAGACTGGTTTGTCCACTGTAAAATGGGAACCATACCCATTTTGCTGGGTCACAATGAGGCTCTCAGCAACAATGCATGTCAAGTGGGTGACACGTTCCTTGAGCCATCAGCAGTTTGGACTAAATGGCACTACATAAAATGTGCTCTAGGATCAACATGCCTCTGCTCCTTAGCTAATGCCCAAGTTTTGGGGGACCCCAAAGAGGTGGCAGGAATAGGGAGAAAAGAGGGCTATTAGTAGAGGCTATTCCTCTACTAATGTATCAACATGAGGTCATCATTATCATGTAAATCCCCCACTTTCCTCTAAAAAAGCCCACAGGCTGTTTCCTCTCCCTTGGGTAGATTGCTCCCAGCAAAGAGAGTGAGACAGCAGGAGCCCAGACACATCTGGGTTCCAAGTCTGACTGGCATGTGGACTAGAGCACACTGCTGCTTTTCTCCCATCTCCCTTCCTTCATTCTATAAATTGGAACCTTCATACCTAACCCATGTGGATGTTGTGAAGATTAAATTAAATAACAGCTCAGCATACTCCCTGCACATAGGAAACATTCACTGTATGCTGCTTCTCTTACTCTTTCCGTGACCACCTACAGGCTGTTCCCGACGTCTACACTCCAGATTGATTTTATCTTGGTGTTTCTTGATGCTCACTATACTTGGGGTTTTTTATTATTAAAAATATTAATAGAGAAGGGAAGGCACTACAGAGTGAGTGATTTTTTTCTACAAGCTCCACACACTCCTAGAAATGACTCCGAAAACCAGAGAAAATGGCTCTCAGGTATTTGGGTACCTCGGCTGGCATCATTCTGGATGACTCAGACTCAAGCTGTCCACTGCTTTGGCCTCCCTGCTATTCCTCTGCAAGCAATTCCCCCTGATCCCACATGATCCTCCAGCATTAACAGCTTTTGCTGAGGAACCTACTGTTCAGACAATTTTGCATGCAGAAATGGCGAGTTATTATCTCAGCCTACAGTTTTCCAGGCCTCTCACACATACCCAGCTTGCCTTAAAATTGTTGAGTTTTGAATACATGAGGTATAAGCCCTCAGTGAATTCATCTTCACTAGGCTATTTTAATGTTTTACAGTGGGAATAATTTTAGGTTCTGAGCTCTCTCACCAGAGGATTTAAATAGATGCCCTTTAGGAAATACTCTGAGTGAACAAGAACCACTGCTATGCTTACATTTCCTAAATAACCAAGGCTTCCATTCCCAAATTGTGCTTTGATTTGACTGTAAGTCCGTTCTGTGAAGTTATTGAAACAGTACTAGAGTTTTACATGACACTAGGCTTCTGGTTCTGCATGTGATTTATTAGCACCACATCATGCCAATGAAGCCCTGGTCCTACTTAGAAGTGGTGTCCTGGAAGTGATTGGCAAGTGGTGGCACACAGCCCTGTAGGATCAAGTCCTCAGGTTCAGGAGAGGCAACAGCATAAACAGAACACAAAGAAGTTCCTAGATATATAAAAGCCAAGTGACTGGAACAAGGGAACGACGGGTCACTATGACATACACTACAGAGGCCAACCAGCCTGATTGGGGCCCCAATCGGCCCCCACAACGTCCCACGGCCCTTCCCCTCCGCCAGCCCAGCCCCTGATCGGCCCCCTCACCCCAATCAGGGGCAGGGCCGGCCAAGCAACCTCCCATGTCTCCTCCCCCTTGCCAGCCCAATCAGCCCCCATCGGGGTGGGCCAGCCAGACCCCACCCATGCACGAATTCATGCGCTAGGCCTCTAGTATTTAATTAAACTCTTAATTGTAGAATATGACCTTCACTGCAGTTTCACCAAATGTCCTTGAGTAATGGTAATTTGTAGCAGCTGACATAAGAAAGCTTTTTAAAGGTGTGAATTTTGAATGCCAGAAGAACATGCCTCCCTCCCCCCATTTCTCTATTTTCCCATAACTATGGACTGATAAAAAGTGACCAATCAAACCCTGGCTTCTAATTCTTTACCATTTTATAAATAGAGAATGTACCTGTTGAGACCTAACTAGCAGTATCTCAGTAACTCTGTGCTCAGGTGGCAAGGTAAGTTTGCCTGCTAGAAAGGAATGCTATGCTTTGTGCAGCTATGATGAAATGCTTGCCTTCCAACTCTTACAATTAGAGTAACAGAAGCATGGAATTTTGTCAGGGGAAGTGTTATGCACTGAATGTTTGTGTCTCTCCCTCTGCCCAAAAGTCTACACGTGAGCCTTTAGACCCGCGGTTTTCAACCTGTGGGTTTCGACCCCTTTGGGGGTCGAACGACCCTTTCACAGGGGTCGCCTAAGACCATCGGAAAACACGTATATAATTACATATTGTTTTTGTGATTAATCACTTTGCTTTAATTATGTTCAATTTGTAACAATGAAATTGGGGGTCACCACAACATGAGGAACTGTATTACAGGGTCACAGCATTAGGAAGGTTGAGAACCACTTCTTTAGACTTTGGAAGGTGATCAGGTCATGAGGGCAAAGCCCAATGAATGAAATCAGAGCCCTTATAAAAAATGTCCAGAGAGCTCTCACCTGCCTTCTAATGTGTGATGACACAATGAGAAGATGGCTGTCTGCAAACCAGGTCCCTCACCAGATACCAAATCTGCTGTGTCTTGATCCTGGACTTCACAGCCTCTAAAACCAAGAGAAGTAAATGTTTGGTGTTTAAGTCCCCCAGGCTGTGATATTTGTGTATTTGTGTTATATCAGCCTGGAAACACTAAGAGACGAAGTGAAGGAGGTACCATTTAGTTCAACTCCATCATTTTTCAGATGGGAAAATTAAAGTTAAGTGATATGACTAAAGACATAATTGCTTGTGGCATCAAAAGTAGAAAATTAAAAGCCAATTTTTTACTCAAGAATTTCCTCATTGAAGGTTTTAAAGTCCCTTTGCTTTTCGTTTTTTTTGAATTGGCTCTTCACCATTATAGAGGTCTTGCATTTAAAAACTTACAAATTTTTGTTGCTCTTAAATTTTACTTAAACACTCAAGGTAAGACTGTACACATCTCCGTCTCTCATGATGCATACATACAAAATTATCAGCCATGGTCAGTCTATACTCTGATAAACACATTGTTTTGAAATCTAGATTTCCACCTGGCCAGTAAAAGAAGCATCGGATTTGGAGTCAGAAGACTTGGGCTGGAATCAAAGTTCCAGCCGAGAGTCAATGAGCTTCCACCCAACTTTCAATTTCCTCAAAGGAAACCTTCCCGCTCTGCCTCACAGGCTCAGTCAAAATTTGAAATGGTATAATATATGTGAAAACGCAAATGCTTTTGCAAGCGCCATATAAAATGCTGTACATGTATAATTGTTATTTAATTGTGACCATCATGGACAAATATTACTTTGTTACTATCATTACTTCTGGTCTTTCAATAAGTATAATGCCAGGTGATGAGGGGACAGGATAGATGGATTATGGAATAAAGCCCCTGAGAATCTAAGGGTAGGAGAAACAAGAAAATTAAAAAAATACAAACACAAAGAATACATGCTGACATGAACTGGTGTATGAGAACATGGTGCTGGTGGTAGGGAGCTGGCTTGAATTAAGATACTCATCTTGGATTCTAAGTCCTAACCATAGAGATACTTTTCTATAAATGCCATCTCTGAGTAAAATTTGTCATGCACATTAAGTTTCCTCTCATTCTTTTGTCCTTTCTTTCCAGGCACAGAAATTACAAGGAAGGGCTAGAAAAACAAAGCTCGCCCTTCATGATATTTGGTCAATCAACTATGGAAGATGCTATGAAAGATCAAAGTATTCCACAGGTCTCTAAATCTCTTGGGAGAAACCCACACCCCACATTTTCACGCCGAATACCCACCGCAGGCATTTGTAAGGGCTCTTGGGTCCGGTCTTCTGCCACCTGTCTCAGCATCCCCCGTGAATCCATGACTATTCTCCTTCCTCATGCTTTTAAATTCCTTAGTTGGAAAGCAAAGTTCATATATGAAATCAGGCTCTGGTACAAGCCTAACCCAGAGAAATGGGAGGAGATAAGTCGATTCCACTCACATGGGCTCGCCTAAGTGCTGTTTCCAGACCTACAGCTAATGCTTCATAAAAGAGAGATTTCAGTGACTCAATTTGCTGATCGCTCGCCTAGAGGCCATGACCTCAGTGTGTTTCTGGTTCCAAGTTCTGCAGATGTTCTTGATCCTGTTTGGAATGCACATGCTAGAAACCCTGGAAAGCAGCAGCCTTTTCATAAAAGCAGCTCTGACTTGGTGGTCAGATGGGAGCCATCTGTTAGAAGGCACCACCCTTCCCAAAGCTACCCTTCTGACTTGCCACAAGGGCCTGCAGGTCAGAGATCTTGGGGAGACCCTTGAACGGCGGGGTTCTCTTTGACAAGCCAAGGCAAGCTTCCGGGAATGCGGTCCCACGGAGAGCACCTGCGATGCTGGGATGCTTGCCAGGGCAAACTTGTTTCTTTCTCAAGAAGGGAGCCTTCTTACCCTGATGGCTTAAAGATCCCAATGGGTATTTCAGATTGCTGAGTGCTAACACTGGGGACATTTTTTCAAGAATGGCCTTTTTGTCTAAGCGGGAGACCTCTGCCAAAGCTACATACCTAAATCTCTCTTCAATTGCTGCCCCACCCTCCTAATTCTAGGCTCCTTTCTCCAGATGACTCATGTGTTGTGTTGTGTCACGGAAAATACACTGGGCTGGAAGTCAAGAGTCTGGCTTTTGTGTTACTTGTATGAGCTTGGGCAAGTCACAGAATCCCTACTGGCCTCGGGTTTCCCATCCGTAAAATGAAAGAGTCAGGCTCAGTGAACTTTACTACTCCCTGGAGGTATGAGACACTGAATGTTAGAGGCCTTGGGAAGTACGTTCCCTTTTTGACAGTGTCAGCGAGATCCTGGACTCTGGCAGGCTCAGGACCTCTCTAGCAAAACAGTCAGGAGAGGGAGAAGGCTGATTTCCAGAGCCAGTGACTTCATCTAGACCTGCCTGTTGGAAATCGGGAGAATCTGAGTTCCAGCATTAGGGGCAGCTGCCTGCCATCTTCCATCCTTCTCCCAGGGGCATGAAAGTGATCTCCTTCACCCCCTTCAGGGGGTAACTGTACCCTTTTCTCAGCACTGGGTGTCAACGTTATTTGTCTGTCCCACTCACTGACTCAATAACAGTTTATTTAAATTGTTGAACACTTTTCTGTTGAAATCCTTACATAATGCTTGACTGAGATGAGGATTGCATTAGAACAATAATTTAGACAAAAGTTTAGGTATTAGTTTTCATAAATATGAGCTCCCAAATAATACCTTCCATTTAAGCTCATAGTTAGAAAAGATCTTTTCTGACTTGTTTCTTTTTTGTCCCCAAATCAAACATTAACTCTAGGCTATCTATAAACTCTTGAGAACTTTCCAGCAATTTCATGTCATTTTTTCAGCAGTTTTTCTCTATTATGTTTAGGCATGCTTTTACCATTCATAAGATAGCTGACACTATGTCATAAAAAAATGTTACGGTTTTCATTTTGTACATGTTCCATGTCTTCAAGAACCTACTAAAGAAATCATAAAATAATCTAAACAAATGTGAGACACAAACATAACTACCTATCAAGACACAATGATCGCATAAAATTCTTGAGCAAAGTTAACTGTGCGTTATTACATATGACATGTAAAGTTGAAGGAATCTGGGTACATTGCAAAGTGGTGTTTGGATTTGGTAATTATACAGAGAATACCCTCAGGTCTAGGATTACGCTGACCGAATGCAACAAATCTAGACCTGGGAGTCCTATTTGGCGAAGCTTGCTCTCCACCCACGCTGTTGCGGTTGTGTGCATTTCCTGGGTTAAGGAAGCAGAGAAGCAGACTGGAGATATCCAGGGGTTTCCTCTTCCACCGTATCTCATGGAACGGACACCTCTCCTTAGCAGATGTTAAATTTTGGCCACCGAGCTTACTCACTGTAGTTTACCATTAATTACTCTCAGTTCTAGTTCTGAGGGAAACCCGTGTAGGTCCTCACAGTCTGACTAAAATACTTAACAGAATTAGACTATTTGTTGCTTAAGCCTTTATTTGGATGTGATCCTTTTCCATAAAATTAATCCCCCAAGGGTTTACTAATGCTTTAGTAAAAATCTCTCTAGACGTTAAGGCATATAATATTATATGCAAATGATTATGTACGGGTATGTGTGCAGTAAGAAAACTTTCTGCTTACATGCTGTTATCCCTTTACTTTTCTGGCAAATTTTCTACATAAGGCTCAGAGCTAATCCCTAATGCTTTACTTTAAGAGTCTGCCTTAACAATCGTGTTAAATCTCAGAGCTGCTTGAGCTTCCTCTGAGAAACCTGGCAAATTGTGGGACAGAATTTAAAAAAAAACAGGCCAGTGGACAGTGACCGGTGTTCTGAACTGCCCCCTCGGGTAGTTTAACTACACACAGTATCCATCGTGGAATGAGAGGATTATACTTAATTTGAGTTTAAATTTCCCATATAATTGATGCACAGGTCGAAAGTTTCTCCTGAAGAATGTGGAGTTCAGAGCGAGAGATGTTTATATTATCTCTTTTATTTTCTACATGTTCGGAGAAAGAGAATGATGTATTTAAAGAAAATTGGCAATGCTTGTGTTGAATACCTGTATTTGCCAGGCTGGGTTTTAAGAACAAGCAGAGCCCAGTTGTTGTGGCTCAGTGGCTGCACGTCCACCCATGAACCATGAAGTCCCCAGTTCAATTCCTGGTTGGGGTACATGCCTGGGTTGCAGACTGGATCCCTGGTGGGGGGCCTGCAGGAGGCAGGGAATCGTTGTGCCTCTCTCATTGATGTTTCTGTCCCTCTATCCCTCTCCCTTTCTCTGTCTCCAAATCAATAAAAACATGTTTAAAAAAAAAAGAGCAAGCAGAATTGTTTGGTGGCCTTCTACCTTATGCTCATATGGGCCATTAAGTTAGAACATTTCCTTTGAATTTAAACTCTATCTTATGCGTTGCTGTTCAACCTTATTTCCTATACCACCAGACTCGGTGGCTAGTTATGTACAGGTATGTGTGCAGTAAGAAAACTTTCTGCTTACATACTGTTATCCCTTTACTTTTCTGGCAAATTTTCTACATAAGGCTCAGAGCTAATCCCTAATGCTTTACTTTAAGAGTAAAGTGTTCTTAGCCACTTAGAAATCTAAAACTCATTCTCTGAAATGTTCTCATTAAATAGAATCACCGGACCTATAGTCACCTGATTTTTTAAACTAAATCACCCGTCAAAAACACAGACAAAAAGGATTTTCTCATATCCAGATGATACTAGGTTTTTCACTAGGAAGAAGCTCTTGCAAAGTCACTCAAACAGCAAACAGCGATTAAGTTGTTCCTAACTGACTCTTTGCCAGGCCCCATGCAAGATATTCAGCCTGTAACAGGGAGTACGACAGGAAGCTTACACTCTGACAAGAGGCAGAGATGGGTCCTAAGTGTTCCCGATGCAGGGTGTCGAGGTTTACATGAGGCCAGAGAAAGGACCCCGCAGTCAGCTTTGCAGGGTGCTGACACAGAGACCTCCTGAACGAAGCGATGAAAACACTGAGTTATAAAGGAGGAGAATGATGAAGGAGGAAAGGGAAAGAATATTCTGAGCATCATTGCAAAGTAGAGGAGGTAGAAAAAGAGAATGAATGAGAAAACTGCATGGATGAACTGGCTAAGTGGACAGATTTGGCGACACAATGAGTGACCACGTGAATGATGCTCTAATGACAACATAAAAGGAGCTGCAGTGTAGCTCTGTGGGGCAGAGCCGACACGAAGGGCCTGAAGCTGGCGTATTCATCAGTGCTGCTCACCGATATGCAGACCCCTCTCGCCCCGTGGACACAGCAGGGCTGTCTTCCTGGCTCTCAGTAGTTGGAGGCGGCCACATGGCTAGTTAAGCCATGAGTTGTGAGCACAGGTGCCCCTTCCAGGCCAGAGCACTTAACTGCTTGAGGTGGGATCTTTTCCCCTCTGGTGAACAACCAGCAACTCTCCAGGTGGAGATGCCCAGGCCGCTTGAGTCCCTGAGTGGACAATGAGCACATCCCCAAGGCTAACCTGAGTTGTTCTTGGTAGATAAAGCATCTGTGTTGTGCTCAACTTCTGAGTCTGCAGGTTGTTGATCCCAGGGAGTAACCAACAACCAAAATAAAGCCTTCCTAAGGTATGCAAGATGAGAGTGGCAAACGTTGTGCCACGTTGTGCCGTGCAAGGCCCCCAGCCATGCTGAAGAGCTTGCATCTTAGGCTGAGAGCGCTGGAACCCTTTAAAGGGATTTAAGGAAGGTTTTAATAAAATTTGCATGTTCATATCAATCACTCTGACTGCAAAGTATTGGAGTGGGCAACATGAAAATCTCTAATTTCTGAAGACCATCTCTTCCAGACCTATCTTCTTTTCTTTTATTTATTTTTTATTGATTTTAGAGAGAGAGGTGGGGGAAGAGGAAAAGGGAGGGAGGAAGAGAGAGAGAGAGAGAGAGAGACATCGATTTGCTGACCAAGGATCAAATCTGCAACCTTGGTGTATTGAGATGAGGCTCTAACCAACTGAGCTACCCAGCCAGGGTTGAGACTTATTTTCTAAGAATTGACAAAGCAGTAACTTATCTCAGAAAACTTGAAAAGCTCTATGGAGACATCTAAAAATATGTTAAAAATCTCATGTCTGACATAACCTAACTAACTTACAATGAACTGAAATTACATATCCATTTTTCCGTATCTTCATAATCTTTCTGATAAGAGCAGAACATACTTCTCTGAATTTTCAGCTAAAGAATGAGGCAAATTTCTTAGAAATCTGATTGCTTTAGAGTCTATGTAAAATGGTTTGAGGCCAAATTATTATGGAAAGAGCAAGTAAATTGAGCCAGCATACTTCATAATTTTCCTTCATTAGCAAGTTCTGCAGGCTTCACTGAATTTAATGAAAGGACTCCCATGTAAATCAAGTCTATTCTCCCATGGGGGAAATTTTTAAAAATTCTCTCGAACCTAAGTATGACGGAGTGTGTCAACATTCAAACATCAGAACATTTAGCTTAATTAAACTCCTCTCCGGTTTCCCCTTCACTTCTGTGAATGTGTTTAAATCTTTAGGACCAAAATTCTCTCCATTGCTCGAGCTCCCTAGGCTGTGGTTACATGGGCCAATGGCATAAACCATAGACCCTGGGGCTCATCTGATTCCCCTGCCTCATTTGACGAATAAGGTGACTGAGGTGGCAAATCATGCTGAACATCTTCAGGAAACCTGGAAGAGGAAATGTCTTCGTCTTTCTACCTTCGCTCTGACATCAATACAGTGTACACCATCAGTTTTTGTTTTGTACTGCAAACCACGTTAATGGATTTGATAATATGACACCTGGAAAGGTAGAATTCTAAATTAATAAAAGAAAATAAAGCTTCAAAATTATAAATTATTCAACATATATAAACAAGTACTAAAGGCATGTGTTTCTGACCCAGTTCGTGGCTATTTATCAGAGAGAAGCACCAAGTGCAGCATTTTTCCAACTGGGTTCCATGAACACCAATGTCCCATGAGGTGGTGCTGTGTTTTCCACGTAACAGAGGTTCTAGGTTCAGATGAGTTTCAGGAACAGAGCTTACGCTCTGCTCAAGACATTATCTTTAGTGTTTATTCTGATCTCCTCTTTCAAGGAAATGCTTGGCAATATTAACCTTAAGCTCACAGCTGCAAAGTTAGTATTGAAGTCTTATGAAACATTTGAAAATGAGGCATTTCTGTTTTCATTTTTCTGTCATTTAAAGAAATAGTCACTTTTAGAATTATATCCAAATGTAAAAGAGCATATGACAATGCTGTTACAGCAAATCTAGACAAATGCCCTAATGACTCAACAGTAAACCAAAGCAAATTAAATAGACTTCAATTTCTGCTCAAGATAAAGTATTAAGCCCTGAATCTCCATTCACTTGGTGCTCGGGTCCTAAGTGAGGTAGTTATAATGTTGTCATCATGGTATAAGCATACAGCTAAGAAAACAGTTGACATAATCTCAGAATTTGCTTCTGGTCATGAGAACATGTAGAATGCGAGAGCCAGGGGGAGCCTGATGCCAGTCAAAATCACCCACGCCCCTTGCTTTACAGATGAAAATACTGAGGCCAAGCCCTAGCCGGTTTGGCTCGGTGGATAGAGTGTCCGCCTGCGGACTGAAGGGTCAAGGGTTCGATTCTGGTCAGGGGCACATGCCTGGGTTACAGGCTTGATCCTCAGTAAGGGGTGTTCAGGAGGCAGCCAATCCATGGTTCTCTCTCATCATTGATGTTTCTATCTTTCTCTCCCTCTCCCTTCCACTCTGAAGTCAATAAAGATATTTTTTTTTTCAAAGAAACTGAGGCCAAGAGAGGTTCTGAGATAGATCTAAGGACATTTTTATATAAAGCCGTCATTTGATTTTATATTTGCATTTGTTCCTTTTTTTTAAAACTCACATATTGATGTACCAAACATCTTGTGAGTTCCAACGCATGTATCAAATGCTGGAAACACAAAGATGAACACAAAAGGTTCCCACCTTAGACACCCATGATCAGTGTGCTGGAGCCAGCTGTTCCCAGCCCAGAAAGGCCAATGCTAAATTCTCAGGGATTCAGTGAGCCAGTTAGGAAACGCGGCCATTATTAATTTATATAAACTTGCACTTAAAAAAATTATGTTGATATTAAAGGTAGCACGCACTCAAACACAGTACTTCCTAGCTGTCTTACTACATTTCTGTGCTGGAGGTTATTTACCCCTAGTGTAGAAGAGAAACTCATTAAAAGAGTGCTCTGGCACCGCGCTTGCCAAGTCCGCACTCAGCGATATCACAGTGTTAGCGTGAAGTCAGGGGAGCATTTACACTGGAAACTGGCAAATGCTACAAATTAGCAATTGTTTTTCCTAAGAGGTGGCCGTTCCATATTTACCACCTCACCACTACGTTCAACTAATACATGGAGTGCACTGTACTACTTTACTGTGGCATGTAGTTCACAGGACTAGGCGTTCACGTATTCATCATCCCACACACTCTTCCAAGTCTGTGAGACAGATTTTATGACCTGTAGAAGACACAGACTTGTGCAAAACTTACTATAATACAAAAAAAAAAATCACTATGGTCACAAGGCGAACGAAGCAGAAAGCAATGAATTCTGTGTGGCAGCTAAGAGAATGCAAAAGAGGCTGTGTGATCTGGACTTAGGAAATTCACCTAAAGATGAGGCGATAGCTGAAGATCCAAGGAAACTAAAGACCATTTGGTTTCCAGTATATTCTGCCTTTGTGCTCTTTATCCCATATATTCCATATTCCTATCACTCATTTGTTGTGTGACTGTGTACCAGACATGAAACTTTTTCACAAAAAAAGGATTTGGTATTATCTAAAGGTTAAGAGCTATTTGGTTTGTAATTTAAATAGCCATCTTCGTGCAGTGGATTATTGCTTCCTTAACTCCAAGGGAGACAGGGTAAGCACGGAGGTTAATGACAGCAATGGCTGAAGCTGTCAAGCTGGGATTGCACTAAGCTACATGTCCTTGGCCAAGGCACTTTTTCTCTGCGTACTTCTTTTTTAAAAAAATCTGTAAAATGAAAACAAAATCTGCTTTCCTGAAGATTAAATATGATCATGTAAAGCACGTGGCTCATCATGGGCACTCAATAAATGCTACCTCACCCTTCAGTTTCTTCCTACAGCAACGGTCGACCTTTCCTGGCAACTTCTCTAGTGAGCTGTATGGGCCTTTGGGGTGTTCTCTGGGTCGCAGCCTTTCAGTCTTCCAGGTATGCTTGTTTTCCCCTGGCTGTCTTCTCCCCTTCGGTTACCAGTCAAGCGCCACGTCCCCACACACTATAAACTCAGGTATTCTTGCTCCTTGCCTCATAATGGAGTAATTTTCCATAAAAAAAAAGATAAAAAATATGAACACAAAAATGGCAATAAATACATATCTATCAACAATTGAATCTAAAAATCAAAATAAACAAGCAAGAATTATAATGAACAAAATAAACTGGTGAATAAAATAGAATCAGAGGCATGGAAACATGGGACAGATTGATGAATCTCAGAGGGAAGTGGGTGGGGGGGGGGGTGGGAGGAGATTAACCAAAGATCTTACATGCATATATGCTTTACATATATATGGACACAATCAATAGGGTGGTGAAGGCCTGGGACAGGAACTGGGTAGAGGAGGGCAAATGTGTGTGTGTGTGGGAGAGAGAGAGAGAGAGGAAGAGAGAGAGAGAGAAAGACATCTGTAATACTCTCAACAGTAAAGAATTTTAAAAATAATAAAAAATGAAAATAAATAAAGTACACAGATTAAAAAAACAAAAGAATACAGACCAAACTTCATTATCACCACCTGCATTCATCTATATGCTCCATGAGGTCAAGAACTATGCCTATCTTACCTGCCACTGCATATGAAGGGACCGGCACAGTGCTCAGGGCTTAGCACATAGTAGGTGCTTTAAAATATATATATGCTGCATGAATAAATGCTCTTATTAGAAATTTTTAGACAGTTAGTTACATTTGGTACAACTCTTCAATTTTGGGGCACCCAAGTTTCTATTTTTTGTTCTCCTTTAGTCAACGCTTTTATAAGTTCTTTGTCTCAATATTTCTTCTTCTAACAAATGTTACTCATTTCCCACATTTTCCAAAAAAAAATATAAGTGCTATGTAATCCACCAGATGGGCCACTCTATAGCCCCTCTGAGATAAATGAACATCAAAATTCCCTATTTGTGATAAGAAGGATGCCGTAAAATCCTAGGACTTCAGGTGAGTAAATGTGGCCTCCAACTGGCACATAGCCTGTGGGTTTGGGATAACTGAGTATCATAGGAACCTTCTGTGTGGCACATGTGCAGTTTACCTCTGTGCACCTTGCCGCTCCCTGCTTGGCATGGGGCAGGTCACCTGCATTGCTTCCCATCATGTGCATCTTTTGTGAGGTTCACACTAAGGTGTTTAGTGGCCCTGAGCCATCTGTGAGAGTCCCCTCACCACTTACAGCAAAAGCTTCCAACTTACAGTCTGCGGAAGCAGCCAAAGATCTACAGCAAAGCCCCTGCAGACAGCACCCTCTCCCTTCACCCCTCTCATTCCTGTCCTCCTCCACATTCCCTGTTTAGCATTTCTGATCCTTCAGGGTTTTTCCTGCTCCCTCCAAATCCTTCCCATATTGTAAAATCATTTCATTTGTATATAAAACCCTTTTATTCCTAGTTGAAATAAAACATTGCCTCAGAGGTTGAACTAAAACTGCCTTTCTTTAAAACATTAGTGAATTCGATGATCCCTATGAACCCTTCCTTTAGTATATTGTGATTACATTAACACTCA